TTTTTTTTAAAACTCCACCCCCCTTAAGTTTGAAATTTATGACCATTAGGCCCTACAGAAGATAGTTTCTCCCACATAAGTTCTTGACTTAAATTTTAAGGTCTTAGAAAATTTTGGGATATTACACAATATAAGGTAAAGAGCATACATTATTTTCTTATTTTTTCTTTTTTATATTAGTAATTTCTTCATTATTATTCTCTTATAATCCTCTCATCTCTATCATTCTTTTTTCCTCATTCTTTTAAATCTTTCTTTATCAAAATGTATATCTTTTTTTACATAATCATTTTTTTCTTGATACTTTTTTGCTTATCTATGCTTCACCCTTCATTAATTTTTCTTAAGTTTTCTTCTCTTAACTTATTCTCTAACATTTTATCATTATATTTATCTATCTACTTTACATTTGCACTCATTCTTTCTTTCATTCTCTTTCTCTCTCTCTCTCTCTCTCTCTCTCTCTCTCTCTCTCTCTCTATCCCTCTCTCTATGTATATACATATAAATAGTAGGGATTCTATCACGCCCCAAAACCAGGAGCGAAACAGATGTCATACACTTGTGAGAGGATCCCACAAATGCACAAGGCTCGAAACTTGCTAAATTCATAACTAACAATCCACATAAACTTATATCAATATCTCCAAATAAAATCTAGCTTACAAAAGAATGATTTATATCTTCAAATCTATGTCCAAAATATGAATGGCTAGCCTTATAGCTCGTCACTCCCCTTGGATTCCCACATCTCAGGTCTCACTACTTGAAATGGTAGATGAGGGAAAACTATATGAGATAACTCAGTAAGTAAAAATACAATAGCCCTTATTTAAAGTTATAGCATGCCAACAAGTGTAATCAAGTATCAAGAAAAACAAGTACAAGTATTGGAATGAAATAGATGTCTCCTTTATAGGTCATGGCTAGCGTTTATAAGGCTCCCACTGGCAGGCATAGTAATGACCAATGTATTATCCCACTAGCAGAAATATAGGGTGAATCGGTTTTATAAATATACATGTTGACATGTGCTAGCATTTGCAAACTCCCACTAGCAAGCGTCAGTAATCATGACCATATTGGAGACAAAACCATGCAGGCGTTCAACAGATAAATTCATCATTTACAAATATGTAGAAGTTAACAAGAAAATCTTAACTTACAATCCAATTTCAGGTTATCAGAGCAGTTAAGTAAACTCCATGTAGGCATACTCAACTCAATAAAAATAATAACTTCATTTCAAGCCTTTCATAATCATGTGCTAATGAAAATCATGTTTAGGTTCCACCACCATCTCAAAACAATTCAAAATATGCTTTTAAAAATCTTTACCTTAAAATCGAAAGGCATTTACCATAATTTTACTTACCTCACTTTGTTGCTATACAATAAGCAAGGAACTCAAAAAATCAAGGCTTTAGAACTTATACCACATCAATGAATAAACAAGATTACAACATACTCTGTTTAACTAATTTGGTTCCTAATTCCAAAATCAAGTTTGTACCCGAAGAAATAACTTCTTCCTACACCTCCTTGTCACCTCTACCCATTGAAACTCCATTAATATATGTATATATATTCCTATGCATAATCCTACTTAAAACAATCCTAAAATAGCACCAAAATACCCTACATATAGTGGGTTTAGAAGGCAGATTACTAGACAAAACAAAGTGGAAAAATGTGAGAAACCAAGCTCAAATCTACCCCAAAACAGCAACATAAAAGTTGGGCAGTAGGGTGGGGATTTTTGCTACTTTAAATAGTCCCAAAATGCTTGAAAAAGCCTTGAATAACAAGAATTTTCTAGACAAAAATAGCAAAATTTTCTAGGCAAAATAGCAAGGATTTATGGGCAAAAATAAAAGCAAAACAGTGTACAAAAACAAGCCAAAATAAGGCAGCATTCAAGCAAAAATGCAGTAGCAAAAAGGTAGCCAAAATAAAACAATAACAAGGGGTTTTAGAGCAGGAAATAGTAGTTAAAAGTCTATGACAACCATCATACAATATGGTAGTAGGTACAGTGAGAATAAAGCAGAAAATAAAGTAAATTTCTAGGTGCTTTTGAGAGCAATTCTAGTTAGATTTTGAATCAAAACTTCCAACAGAATTTGTGCCTAGAGATTGACCAATCTGGGTTGAGTGGTCAACAGATAAATTGTAACCCTATGTCTTAGCGTTCTATAACCTTAAGAATCACCTTAATCTAACATCTACAGAGAGAGTTATGACCAAAATATTAACATAAGGTCAGGTTGCTAGTTCTATCTGTCTGTAGGGACCAAACTTGCAACAGAGTTTCCACCTTGAAAACATCTTAACAGGGTTAAATGTTCAATAGATAAGTTGTAGGGCTATCTCTTAGCTTTCCACATAATCAAGAATTGACTTAATCTGATAACTACAAAAAGAATTATGGGAAAAATACTATTGCTAGATTATGGACAAAATCAAGGGGGAAAACTACAGAAACACTCCCAAAATTGAAAACCCTAAATGATTAGAGCTAACCCACTTCAAATCAAAGATGAAAAGATGAGAAACATGGCTGATTTTTTACCAGAAAAGTTGCAAGAAGAACACCCATTGAGCAATCCATCACTGACAAGAAAGAGGGAATAGCCAACAAAAACTTTGAATCGAAAAAGAAGAAGAAGCATTGTAGGGGGAATAGGAGGAGGTTGAAGGCTTCAAGGGTTTTGGATTTAGAATGGAAGAGGAGAGGAAAAACCAAAAAGAGAAAAAGCTCATTTCCCTTTTATTTTGTCCATCCATCCCTTTCCCTTTTCTTTTTTTTTTTTACTACTAACATCCCCAAAGATTGAAGAGTTAGACAACTTTGTCCCCTATTAAAATCCCTTTTTAGATTAGTCCTTTCATACATAAATTAATTAATTATTCAACATAAGTACTCAAAATTTTGGGATATTACAAATTCACTTACATGCATGTTATCCTCCAAAACCAGGAGTGAAACAGATGTCGTACACTTGCGAGAGGATCCCACAAATGCACAAGGCTCGAAACTTGCGTAGTTCATATTTAACAATCCACTAAACTAAAATCCTCAATATTATAATAAAATCTAACTTGAGAACCAATGTTTGACTAGGCCAAGAGTGTAAAAAATTATTCAACTCCATTAATAAGTCATAACTTTCTCAAGGGGATCTAGACTACAAAAGTATGATCTATTTTCCATCATATATGTCCTAAAATATATGTGACTAGTGGCCTAACTCCAATAATAATCTGAATCCAAAATACAATGGCTAGCCCTCAAGCTCATCACTCCCCTTGGTTTCCCTTATCTTGGATCTCACTACCTGAAATGGTGGACAAGGAAAAAACTATGTGAGATAACTTAATATGTAAAAATATAGATAGCCCTCATTGAAATTTTAAAACATGCCAAGTAAACATTTAAAATTTAAACAAGAAAATCTCAATTATAAATAATTTATGCATACTGAAATTTATTTAGTGGCCTCCTTAATTAGTCATGGCCAGTGTATTCTCCCAACTAGCTGGATAACAAAAATACCATTGTACTTTCCCATTGGCTAGATGAATTGGTTCTACAGAAATAGATGTTGACATGTGCCAACATTTAACTCCAACTGGCAGGATAACAAAATTCATGACCGTATTGGAGACAAAACCATGCAAGAGTTGCCAGTAAAATTCAAATTCACAGACCAATTTCAGATCATCAAAATAATCAAGTAAATTTTATGTAGGCATGCTCAACTCAATAAAATAATAACAACTTGATTTTAAACCAATCATGCTCATACTAATGAAAATCGGGTTAAGTCCCACCACCATCTTAAAAATAGCTCAAATATGCTTTTAAAATGTTTACATTAAAATCCAAGGGTATTTACCATAATTTTACTTACCTCTTCTTGTAGGTTTACAATAGCAAGTATGCAAGGTTTCAAGGAGATGGTGGTAACTTAGAACCTATGCCACATTAAAGAACAAACAAGATTACAATGTACCCCATTTAGGTAAATTGGTTTCTAATTCCAGAATCAAGTTTTTATCCAAGGTAACAATTTTTTCCTACACACCCTTACTATTTCTACCCATTGAAATCTTACTAACATATAAATATGTTTAACCATACTTAGAGTATGTTTAAAACAACTTTCACTGTCACATGCAACAGCAGCATTTATGGGGAAAACAGCAACTATTTATGGGCAAAAACAGCAAAACTTGATAGGCAAAACAACAGCTATTTATGGGCAAAAATACCAGAATTTTATGGGCAAAATAGCAGCTATTTATGGGCAAAAACAACACAAATTTCTAGCAAGAATAGCAGAATTTTTCTAGGCAAAATAACAGCTATTTATGGGCAAAAATAGCAAAATTTGTTGGCAAGAATAGCAGAATTTTTCTAGGCAAAACAATAGTTATTTATGGGCAAAAATAGCAGAATTTTCTGGGCAAAACAGCAACTATTTATGGTTTAGAACAACAACAGAAAATGAACCAAAAACTAAGCTAAAACACAACATTTCAGCGGCAAAGCAGGGCAATATTTTGGTGTTAAAATAGCACCTAAACAGATTCTTTAATGGAACTAACAGAACAGAAATTTACAACCAAAAATAGAGCAAAAGCTAATAAACAGTAGAACTTGTGTAGAAACAAGGCATGTCAGCAATACAAACAACGCAGAAAAATCTAGCATCATACCAGCAAACTAGGGCAAAAATGGCTACAAAAATTGGAACCCTCAAGCAGATTTTAGGAAGGAATTTTTCAAATAGCATACATCCCAGCTCTAATCAGCAAAATATTTTGCAAGAAAACCACATGAAACTCGCGCATAAACTGTAAAATTTTGGGGGTTCAAATTCATGACTCATAAGAGACTTCCCACCCTAAGTTGCAAAGCTAAAGATTAAAACAAGGCTTGAAGGATGAATTTTGGTTGTTTTTCTTACTAGAAAATGCTAAAAAATTGGTGACCTCCTACGTCGCTCTCGTTACCTGACACAAACCAAGAATTAGGGGAAAAAGCAACAGCAACATGATATGGATGGATCATGGTTTTAGAGTCATAAGCCTACAAACCTCTGAATCAAACTTGGGAGAAAGGAAAAAGAACCAAATCTCATCTGATTTCCGACGAGAGGAAGCTAGGCATAGGCCAGGCTTGCTAAGGCAAAATTCTAATGGGAGCTGTGGGGAAGTCATGAAAAAGGCAAGAAGTAGAAAGTGAAAATCAGCCTTAACCCCTTTTATTACCAAACTTTTCCTTCTAACCCCCCTTAGGTTTGTGAATTTTGGTCATTAGGCTTAGCAATAATAATTTCTCTCACTAAGTCCTTAGGTTTGTGAATTTTGGTCATTAGGCTTAGCAATAATAATTTCTCTCACTAAGTCCTTAGGTTTGTGAATTTTGGTCATTAGGCTAAACAATAATAATTTCTCTCACTAAGTCCTTAACTTAGATTTTAAAGTTTTGGAAAATTTTGGAATATTACAATGCAAATCTTACACACTATATTTGCATAAAATCTTAACTATTCATCTCTTAAAATTTAATGTTTGGGATTTATTTCATCTAAAAGGTAGTGATAAATCTCAACCATTGAATGTAAAGAGTTGAATGGTTGAGATTTTGTATAAATGTGATATGTAAAAATTATGTGTAAGTGAATCCCTTCTCATATATATATAATTGTTTATTATTAATTTTCTTCCATTGTCCTTATGTCCTCAATATTATTGTTTCTTAGTCACTTATTACATATATATTTATTGTTGTATGCCATTTTTACCCTTACAAATATAGGTATATATTTCCTTGTGTGTATCTTAGAAATGTTTAATTTTGTCTTAATGAATATATTGAAAGCCTATAAGGGCTCTTACTTTACCATTTTTATAACTTTTTGATATAATTTCGACTATTGATAAAAATAATATATAAACATTTTTAGGTTTCTCACAAAGTTTCTTTCTTTATTTTTAAGTTCCTTGTTGGTGTTACTCTACATTCACATCAATTGAACATTGGAATTTGTAGCCATTCATAATTCTTAGTGTTTCAATAATCATTATTAAGAAATACCTTTATCCAAAATTATTTACATCTTATAATTATTACTATTCCCTTAGTCCAAGAATAATGGAGGACATATGAATTAATTTGTGAAGTCTATTTTGAATATAATATAATATAATATATATACTAGGCATAGTATATAATTAAAATAGAAATTAGATTATATATTTGCATAAATTGTTTTTAACTTTAATAATATGTAGATTGAGAACTCATATTATTTTACAGTGACAACAATTGGTAAGAAATTTCATATGGTTGAAGTATTATTATAATACAATAAGAATATAGTTGAATTTAAATTTTTATTATATAATTAAAGTTGTTAAACCAATTTGAAATTTATGTATAAAAAGGGAAGTTATGGATTTTTTTTTTGTTTTGCCTAATTAATTTGTGAAATCAAATTAAAATGTCAGTAATTATAATTATAATTACATTTATAATTATTTACTGAAGATCTTAAAAGGTAAATTGAGTATTTATTTAATATTTTAAAGGGATTTTGAAAGGCTCATTAACTATTTATTCAATGTTTGTTAAAGATTTTGAAAGTTCTATTGGACTTTTATTTTAGATTTATTAAAAATTTTAACTTTTATAATATAGTAAAAAATAATTAAGTTTGGAATTTAAAAATTCATTAATTAATTATTTAATTTTTATTTAAGATTTTAAAATATCCATTCAGCATTTATTTAATATTTATTGAAAATCTTAAAAGATCCATTAGGTAATTATCTAGTATTATTAAAGACTTTAAAAGGTGTATTGAGTATTTATTCGAGATTTATTAAAGAATTTAACAATTTTTATATTATGATAAAAAATTAATAAAATCGTATTGCAATTCCTAAAAGTCCTATATATAATATATAATTATTGAAGTTTAAATCCAAATTTTATTAGAATTTAAATTAAAGTCTAGTAATATACTATTTAAATTGAAATATTAGATTCTTAACTTTGACATAGGCTTTAAACTCTTAAAAGAGGCTTATTGAGTATTTATTTGAGATTTTATGAGTATTTTTAAGGAATTTATTGAAGATTTTAAAGATTTATTGGGTATATATTTGAGATTTATTGATAATTTTAATAATTTTTATAATATATAGTAAGATAGTAAGATATTAAATATGATGATGTAGAAACGAAATAAAATTTCATTGTTCTCATTGTACATGCTTTTGTGTGTTTATTGACCAAGATTAATTACATTGCTATGATAGTTCTCCAAGCCTGGGCATAGATCCAACACGTAACTATTGCCTAAAAGCATATATAATGGGAGCTCTCTTATATTGTTCTTTTCTAAAAATAAAACAGAGATAGAACATGTATACCATTGGAGAGAACTTTAGGACCATGTAGAGAAACAAGCTTGGTCAGATTCTTTTGGCCCAATAGGGACCAAAATAACGTCATTTTGTCCCTTTTGGGTCGAAAAGTTTGACCCCCCTAACATACAGGTCAAAACATGCCATGGCAGGTGTGTCAGCGCATGCCTACCACTTTCTTATAC